ATATTTAAAAAAATATATTATAAATATTCCATTAGAAATTTTTTGAAATATTTTAAATTTAAAAATATAAAATATATTTCATCAATAATAATTTTCGAAAAGCGATGGCAAGCCAAGAACTACGCATATCTGCAGTCTAATCTAAAATATGATTCCTTTTAATTATTTTGATTAATTATTAATAGATTAGACTGCAGGTACTAGTAAAATATAATTAGTAATTAATAAATTATTCTGTACAAAGATTCTCATTATCTCTTCCTCGTTTTTATTTTATTCTTTATTTTTTAACATTTTTTTAAAATTTTAGTAATTTCATTTCTTTTCTTTATATTCTCTAAAATGAGAATATCTTTAACATAGTTTTTAATTAATAAATAATCATTAATTAGATTAAGTTTAAGTATCAAGTTTAATTAATTAAGTATCAAACATTCAGTACCTAGATATAATCCCTAAAAAATAAAATTCTTATGATTATTTTATGTTTTGTTGTTTTTTTCTCGTTTATTTCAAGTTATTGTCAATGCATGTCATGCATCAATTGCAAAAATCATTGGACTGATGCTTTATTTTTAATCAAAGGACCGCCCTCTGATTCATTGGTACTTTTGAATATCCGATCAGAATTAAGTCTTGTAATCGAAACTGCTGTCATAACTCTTGATTTCAAATTAAATTGCAAATGATCAACATTTTAAACTTTTCTTTTTTCGCTTTAAATTAACCAGAATATTCTTAATACGGACTGATATAGTGTTAAGATTTTAGAATGAAAATGAGTTAATTTAAGACATTATCTATAGGCAATGTGAGGCAGTGATAGTCAATGATGAACAACGTGAAACTGAACTTTTAATTATTTATAATAATTTATAACATATGTTAATAATAATAAATTGCGATCAGTGTAAAAATAATTTTATAATTTTATATTGAATCTCCTCCTTTTGATATTTTTCTTTGATATTTAAACTTTATAATTTTATATAATTTATATACACAATATATAATTTTACATATTTTTATATAATTTTTATTTATATGTAATATTACATTATTTATATATATTAATAATATAATATAATATTTATATGTAATATATTTGCATATATTAATTTCTTTTTTTATAGAGAACAAGAAATAAACTAAAAATCACACAATTAACGCCATGTTCAGAATATCAAAAATAGAAAGTACATAAACAAGGAGAGCAAATATTAAAAAAAGGATAGAGATATAACAATTACAAAGAATTGGTACAAGCGGCGCCATCTCCACTCCCCCGAAGGAACTATCCAAACAAGGAGAGCAATGGTAAGAAAAGGCTAGACATATAACAATTATAAAGAATTGGTACAAGCGGCGCGATTTCCACTCCACCGAAGGAACTATACAAACAAGGAGAGCAATGGTAAGAAAAGGCTAGACATATAACAATTATAAAGAATTGGTACAAGCGGCGCGATTTCCACTCCACCGAAGGAACTATACAAACAAGGAGAGCAATGGTAAGAAAAGGCTAGACATATAACAATTATAAAGAATTGGTACAAGCGGCGCGATTTCCACTCCACCGAAGGAACTATACAAACAAGGAGAGCAATGGTAAGAAAAGGCTAGACATATAACAATTATAAAGAATTGGTACAAGCGGCGCGATTTCCACTCCACCGAAGGAACTATACAAACAAGGAGAGCAATGGTAAGAAAAGGCTAGACATATAACAATTATAAAGAATTGGTACAAGCGGCGCGATTTCCACTCCACCGAAGGAACTATACAAACAAGGAGAGCAATGGTAAGAAAAGGCTAGACATATAACAATTATAAAGAATTGGTACAAGCGGCGCGATTTCCACTCCACCGAAGGAACTATACAAACAAGGAGAGCAATGGTAAGAAAAGGCTAGACATATAACAATTATAAAGAATTGGTACAAGCGGCGCGATTTCCACTCCACCGAAGGAACTATACAAACAAGGAGAGCAATGGTAAGAAAAGGCTAGACATATAACAATTATAAAGAATTGGTACAAGCGGCGCCATCTCCACTCGACCGAAGGAACTATCCAAACAAGGAGAGCAATGGTAAGAAAAGGATAGAGATATAACAAGAATTGGTACAAGCGGCGCCATCTCCACTCGACCGAAGGAACTATCCAAACAAAGAGAGCAATGGTGAGAAAAGGATAGACATATAACAATTATAAAGAATTGGTACAAGCGGCGCCATCTCCACTCCACCGAAGGAACTAT